ATTCAACTTTGTGTGAATGTTTCGGAGGAAGTGATACCCAATTATCTTAAATTTAATAAATTTTTTATCATTATATTGTTCACAAACTTATATATATATATATTGAAAATTCGATATACTTTTCTTATGGTTATCGTTCATACTCAAATGAAAGTGAGATTTCATCATTTGCCAATAAAAAGTTAAAAGATTAGTTCTTTATTTAGTTTATTTACTTTTTTTTTATTCAAAATTCAAACCTAGTCATTTTTTGTCATCTTTTTCATTCACTTGTAACTTTGAATATTTGCTAAAAGTGTATAAAGTCATTTTTAAATTTTATAATTTCTTTGCAATTTTTATAATTTTTATGATATAAATATCTTAAATACTAAGCTAAAAAAATAATTATAAAAGTCTTTTAATACATAAGTCATTACATTCTTATTCAGTATTTTAAAATTTTCAAGATTTTTTTTTGACAAAATAGTCTTTTAAAATCTTAATATAAGATACTCCCTTAATATAATTAATAAAATTTAAAAATTAGTTCATGATATCACTAACTAAAAATAAAGATAAATGAATATATTAAATATATTATTATTATTATTATTATTATTATTATTATTATTATTTTGTAATACGTGAATGTAATGAGTTTATATGTAAATGGATTTGATAAAAATGAGTAAATAGATTATCGTACCACACCCTCCTATGTGGGTTTGAGATGCAAGATGTTAACGTATACGTTTGATATGAGAGATGTCCGAACTCCGAAGAAAATAAACTTTTACTGTAATTTACTAAAACTTAAGTCAAACATTATACAAGTAGAATGGAAAGATGAAGAACTGTTTACGCCATCCTCACCAACCCTAGAGATACATACTGTAATAATAATAAAAAAAACTATTTAAGCCTTAGCCAATATAATATTTTATACTTTATTATAATATGAATAATTACATTTCTAGAATCCAATTAATTTAAGTCTACTTAGATATTCAATATATTTTCCTTGTAACCATCATATTGATATAAAATATTTATGATAAAAAATAATGATTAATTTTTATTAAAAATTATGAATACACATAAAATAAATATTCTCTTCTCAATATAATATAAAAAATAACTAACTTTTGAATCACTAACTAACTGATCACAGTATTTGCAATTAAGCATTTGACAAAAGAAGAGAGGAAACTTACTTAGGAATGTGCATATATAAATTAAAACAAGTGCTACGCAACTTTTGGTTTTACTTCACTCAATAAAAGAATACTTTATTCTTGTAGTGAGTGGACCAGAAGATCTTGAATTCTTATTTGAAGTCAATTACATATATCCACTTCCTAAACTAAGTGCATATACCTTCATACAAACTCAAAACAGTTTCAAAAGTGGCACCAAAAACAAAAGAAGAAACATACACCAAAAGTTCAATAGATTAAAAATCACCCCACCTTGAAATATTGAACATTAAAGTATATAGAAAAACTAGCTAAGATGGTGATGCAGGCATGAAGAGGCAGAAATATAGATAAGAAGGCGGAAAGGACTAGGTTTGAGGGAAATGAGTCAACAAAGCAAAAACACAGATAACATGACAACATTTAATTACCGGCTTTGTGCTTTTACTAAATGAAATCTTTATCTCATTGTGATTTGTGACATAAGAGATTCCTTTAGAAGAATGATATATAACATAATTCAATATAAGAAAAACTTTTTTTTTTTTTTTTTTTTGCGCTATAACTGTAAAAGAATATAATAGTTAATTATTATATTTGAATAATTGATTATGTGTTTAAAAATATCTCTCATTTAATATATGACTTTTTAATTGTTCAACTTTTTTTTAAGCATTTATTACAAGAGTAATTTAGGAAGAATATTATAGTAATAATAAAATTTAATGTAATTAATTAATTTTTTAATATATTTAAAATCAATTTCTTTTACTTATAATATAAACAATGAGTATACAAATATAATATATTTATTGTTATTATTAATCTATATAGAAACTTTAAAATGTTGTATTTGTTAGATAGATGAAGTAGTCAAAAAGGTTTAAACTTTTATTGAAATTGGAAGAAGTCTGTACATTTAATACATTACTATATCTTGAATATAATTCTTCTAAAAGACAATATGTGTAGAAAAAAATAAAAAAGTAATGTCATAATTTTTTTTAATTTATAAAAAATATTAAATAAAGAGAAAATATATTTAATATTTTAGAAATATAAAACACATTTATTGCTTATCATTAAAAAGTAAGAAATTTAATACTCCCTCTATTTTATTTTAAAAATAAAAAAATTGATTTAACATGTATTAAGAAAATTAATTAATTATATTGAATTTTACTTATTTCTTAAATTTTTTCTAATTTTTTATTATAAATGTCTAAAAAAAGTGATGTGAAGAAATGATCATGCATTAAAAAGAATCTAAAAAATATAAAGTAAAAGTAGTTAAAATTTATTTATATTTAAAATAAAAATATTTTTTATAAAAGAAAACAGAGGGAGTAAGATGCTCATAGAAGAGGAATTTTTGTATCTCTATATATTTATTTTAAAAAATAGAGATAATATTAATAATATGTATGATTTTATAATTAAAAAATAAGTAATTCGAGATAATTAGAAAATAAAATAATTAAAGGAAATATTTTCATTAAAAAATATTATTTTTTATTATATGTATAGATTATAAAAGAATTTATAAGAATTATTAAGTACTACCTTCATTATAATATATATATATATATATATATATATATATATATATATATATATAGGGAGCATATCAAGTGAGAGAGAATTTATTATGAGAGATGAGAGGGTTAAAATATAACCCTTAATTTCCTCTCACTTGATTAAACCCTAAATTTTCACTTGATTAATCTAAGGGTTATATTTTAACTCTCTCATCTCTCATAATAAATTTTCTCTCACTTGATATGCTCCCTATATATATATATATATAGAGGTTATAATAATACTGATGTAAGTTTTACTAAATATTAAACTAGTCAATAATTTTATATTAAATGTGAATTTTGTAAATCTAACCGTTAAATTGAAAGTTCTTTACTCTTAGATTATATATACAAAAATTTATATTAATTCAAGATGATTTGATACTTCATTTTTATAAAACAAAATTGATGTAATATATCCCAGTTAGTTTTTTAGATTAAAGGAAGAACCAATGAGATTTGCCATGCAGATTTTGGTGGAAGGCCACGTGAAATTTTTGATGCTCCAGCTTAACAACGTACAATTCGGTGGTACCCTCCGCCAAGGGATTCGTGCACACTCAACTGTGATGGAGTTGTTAGCAACGGTATTGCTTCATGTAATGGAGTTGCAAGGGATCACAATGGAAATTTTATCATGGCTTTTTCGTGCAACTTGGGGAATTGTTCGGTGGTTCAAGCGGAGCGTTGGGCTATCTTTTATGGGATCAAATTGCTGCGAGAAAGAAGTTGGGATGGAGCCATCTGGGTCGAGATCGATTCTGCCTTGGTAGTAAAGTTTTTAAATGAAGGATGTATTCGTACCCACGATAGTTACTCTTTAGTAAAGAAAATAGTCCATATTGTGGGTAATGACCATGAGGTGTCTTGTTCCCATGTATTTCGAGAAGCAAATAAAGTTGTGGATCTCTTAGCCAAACATGGTCGTAGTTTGCAGGATAGAATTGTTATCTTCTCGGATCCTCATTCTTGGATCCATTTTGCTTTGCTTGCTAATTTGTTAGCTATTACATTTTGTAGAGGTTTTTAGTTTGGGTTTCTAATCCCGTTCATGTACAAAAAAAAAATTGATGTAATATATACATTTCAAAATATACTAAAATATGAACACTTTGATTACGATCAAGTTGTTCAATTTTAAAAAAATTTGATATAAACATATAAAGTGATATGAACTTTCAATCTAACAGTTGGATTTACAAAATTCACATTATTTAATATAAAATTATTTAGCAGTATAATATTTAGAAAAAATTACATCGGTTATTATAATACTCTTCATATATATATATACACACACACTAATATATTAAGAGAATATCTCTTTGAGTAACCACATGAGAATATCCATCTTAATAACCACCTTAGTTTTAAAAAAATTATAAAAAATAATATTATTTTTTACCAAATTTAAAACTTTAAAATTAATGAATTAGTCACAACACCATTTAAATTATTATATTTTTATTACTTAATTTTTATTTTTATTTTTCAATCCACTAGTATCTATACTAATATATAAAGGGAATACTTGGATGTATAACTACCTTTGGTCTCCACTTTTTAATAGACCATTATATCCCTCAAACTTAAAAAAAAATCTTATATATCCTTTATAAATAATACACACAATCTTTTTAATATTCTATGTATGTATAATTTTAGAAGCACGAAATGTCTCGACCTCTTTAATATAAATGAGTGCATTTAGAAATTTGAAGAGATTTACAACTACATTACTCCCTTCAAGAAAAAAAAAACAATGCAAAAAAGAAAAGGACAAAAAAAACAAACATACCCAATTGAATTAGCCAATTATTCTCAACCCCGTACCCATTTCCCCAAAATTTTAAAACCTTAAAACCCACTCTCACTTCAACTATAATAATATATAAAGGGAATACTTGGATGTATAACTACCTTTGGTCTCCACTTTTTAATAGACCATTATATCCCTCAAACTTAAAAGAAATCTTATATATCCTTTATAAATAATACACACAATCTTTTTAATATTCTATGTATCTATAATTTTAGAAACACGAAATGTCTCTTAATATAAATGAGTGCATTTAGAAATTTGAAGGGATTTACAACTACATTACTCCCTTCAAGAAAAAAAAAACAATGCAAAAAAGAAAAGGACAAAAAAAAAAACAAACATACCCAATTGAATTAGCCAATTATTCTCAACCCCGTACCCATTTCCTCAAGATTTTAAAACCTTAAAACCCACTCTCACTTCAATTCAATCACACTTTAACGCCTCACCCACTCCATACCTCTTTTTATTTCCAATCCACTCTGTTCCAACCAAAAACAGAGACCTTTTCTTCACAAACAGTTACTTTCCTCAACTGGGTCGCTGTTTCTTCCACTCATGTCATTGACTTTGGACCCCGAAGTCAGCCACAATCCCCAGTAACCAAAAGAGGGTCAATTTCAGAATCATGGTTCGTACCTCACACACCCCAAAAAAAAAAAATCTGATTTTTGCATCATGGAGGCGTTCTTCTGCTGATTAGGTATGTGGGTTTTTTCTTGGAAGATCGGTGATGGGTTCTGATCAAGTTTTTATCTATTTGGGTATGTTTTGAGGAGAGTTTTTGTTGCTGATGCTTGGTTTTTGTTTTCATTGATTGAAAAATGAAAAGGGTGGTGGGAAGTGGGAAGTGTGCATCCTTTTGATATGTTCATGTTTGATAAATAGTGCAAAATGAATGAACAATTAATTGATGTCGATGAGTTCGTGAATACACCCTATCTCCCAAACCATGCTGCATTTGTATCTGAATCATAAAATGGAAAGATAGGGTTACATCTTTTTGGATTTACCTTACAGCTATCAATGGTAAAAGGTTTTCCTTTTCTTTTCCTTTCAAAAGCTCTTTTAGGAAGTTGTAAAAGGAAACGACGATTATGTCTTCAAAATGAAGTAATTGAAACATACATATATAGTCATTGTTGTCAGAATTAAGGTGTCCCAGTTACATTCTTTAAAGAGAGCATTAGATGTTTCAATATTGATATGTGGTATGAATATTTTGCTGAGAAAATAATATATTATCTCCTTTATTGTGTTAATAAAGGAACAAAATACCAAAAATCGAAACTCTTACTATCTTGAAGTTCAATTGATGTCAGTCAGATCTGGACAAAGTATTGAATTAACATAAAATTGTGCCAAATTTGTGACAGTGGGCCTCTGCACTACAGGTCTTCTGCAAGATGATTTCATTGTTTGAGTATCAAGAGAGATCAAAGAATGGTTCGTCAAGCTGATTTAGTTATCTTTGGTGTTTCTGTTGGTTTGGCCGTTGGAATTCTGATATCTTGCCTCATATTTTTCGGCATAAGGTGGTACAAGAAAAGTGCTCATCTTAGACAATCTACAAATGAGTCTAGTGTAACAACTCTTCCTATACGAACAAATGGATTGGGAACAAGTACCGACTTTAGTGCGTCACTCGATGGTTCCATAGCCATGTCAAGGTCAGAAAATCTTAAGAAAAATTCCCATTTTGCTTGGTGGAATCATCAAAACAAAGATCAGTTTGCTTCAGCATCAGGCATCCTAAAGTATTCGTACAAGTATGTATATTTCTCTCTTCAGCATGAGATTTACTCTATCTTTTTTCCTAATTGTTCTGGTTAACTACTATTAAGTTTCAAGCATTAAGCATATAACTATTGACAACAAAATCCGTTGATTATTTGATTTGTGAAAATTTTTAACTTTATTAATTTTTTATAGGTAAGTTTCTTTAAAATATCAGATGAATTGCCTTGCAAAATTTTATTTGTGTTGTACCTTAATTCAGAGGAGTGAGAGGACATTAACTAAAGGGACCTTAGAAAAGGAAAAATTTGGGAAATGGAGATGTGGAGTAATTATATATAAAAATAACTAAAGGGACATTAACGTTTTAATGGTATGAATCTAAATCTTTACATGGTACAGAGAAATTCAAAAGGCCACACAAAATTTCACGAATACCTTGGGACAAGGATCATTTGGCACAGTTTATAAAGCAACAATGCCTGCAGGGGAGGTTGTAGCAGTGAAGGTGCTCGCACCCAATTCCAAACAAGGGGAGAAAGAATTCCAAACAGAGGTACAGGAAAATAACTATTTTGATACTTGGTTTGTGCGATTCAGAAATTTTTATATTGTTGTAATCTTTGTAGATTGTATAGTACTGGAAAAGGGTTCTATAATTATCTTACATATTTTTACATGAACCTTTTTTTTCCCTATATTTAATCAAGTGACTCATAAACGCAAAGTTTTAAAGGTATTAAACCATTGCAAAGTTTGTAGATGATTTTATGCTTGTTTGTTTGATTTGAATTGAAGTGATAAATTTATAGAAACAAAGCAGGTGATGATTCTTCAATTATCTTATATATCAAAGAGTTTATTGTTCATCTTTTAACTCAGAAGTTCAGAAGTTTAATGTATATCCATAAAATGAAGGGCCTGTTTGATCCTATTCTTGAAAAAGTTTTCTGTTTTTATAAACAAAAAAGAAAAACGAAAAAACATGTTTATTAATTTTTGAAAGCTGTCTTTAAAACTAATATATGGTTTTCAGCTTTTATAATAATAATAATAAGGAAACAGAACATCTCTAAGCTGTTTTGGTTTTCTACTTTCAGTTTTTGGTTATGTATGTTCTTCCTTGATCTGTTTTGTTTTCTCCCCCATTTACTCTCTAAAAAATTGTTTTATAAGATAAATTTTAAAAAACTAAAAAAGAAAAACACAATCAAACACACCTAAAAATCAAAATAGGCCCATAGTGTACCTGTTACATCAAACTATTTTGGAACATTAACATATGAATGGCCTAGAAATCTTGAATTATAAGTTTGTACTATTTTGCCTTTTGTAATATGGTTATCATCATAGGGAATAAAATCCTGCAGAGGCAATGATTTCCTTTATTTTGAAAGACTGAATATATCATGATTTAAAATGGGTAGGGACTACTGAGTCTCTTACTTCCACTAGGTTATATGCAATTGATGACATTAGTTCTAATTTGAGCAACTCAGAGAGCTAAGCTGCTAACATAAACATCAGCCACCATTAAGGTTTGTTGAATATTTCATATTTTACATGTTGCTTCAGGTATTTCTTCTAGGAAGACTGCATCACCGGAATCTTGTGAATTTGGTTGGATATTGTGTAGATAAAGGACAACGTGTACTTGTTTATCAGTACATGAGTAATGGAAGTTTGGCAAATCTTTTGTATGGTAAGAGGAAGATCTTTCCTGTTCATCTAAATTTTTTCTTTTTTTAAACATGACAGCTGTTTGTCGAATGTTGCATAATTATGTGTCTATTATCAAATAGACAGCCATATCTTTCTTTCTTTGCAAGTTTTTAGTTGTCACATGTCAAACTAAGTTGTCTCAATTGAGAATAGTTTGTAAATTTTTCTAGGTGAAGAAAAGAAATTGAGTTGGGATGAAAGGCTGCAAATTGCTCTTGATATTTCCCACGGAATAGAATACCTTCATGAAGGAGTATGTATGTTCACTGATGTATTTTCTCTTATTCTATGTGAAATGTGTTGGTTAATATGAATATGCATGGAACAGGCAATCCCACCTGTCATACATCGCGATTTAAAGTCTGCCAACATATTGCTAGACCACTCAATGAGAGCTAAGGTAATATTGTTGGTAAAAGCTCTTTTTCATAGTCAAATTTTCATTTTCCTGAATTTGCATAAGATACATTTTTGATATTAATTTTGAGTAAGATATTAAATCCATCTGATTCACTGGTTATGTTGTGATTATTGTCCAAAAGAAATTTGTGGGTGAAAACATCAGAGAAGAGAAAAATCATAATGCAATTGAGACTATTGAGTGAGGTATGGTAATAATACAATAAACTAATTTTAGCTTAACCTGAAAGGATAAGACTTGTCATCTAAACCCTATATTACACATAAACATGGTACAAAGTTTGATTGTAGTATCATAACAGATTAAAAAAATTAAGGGTTAATGTTCTTGTAGAAAATGACATCTTTATTGGGATTAACGTATTAAATGTACTTGCTTGATCACACATTATTATCCATTATAAAATAATAAAAGAATTAAATTGATTTTTTTTTTTTAAGTTTTAGAAAGAAGCTAGATATTAAGTTTTGATTCATGTTTGACTTTTAAATCAATTGACATACATATGACAAGTCTTACAAAATTAGTAGAAAATAAATGCATGTATTTGTATAACTCAAAAGTCAAAACAAATGTAGAAAAAGAGCTACAATCTTCAAAATGGCATAAACTGCAGATGATTTTGTTGCATCATCAAGCACCATAGCTTTCCTGATAATAGTAAAAAAGACATTGATGTATAAGGTAATTGTTGATAAGGTGGGAGTTGTTAAATAGAAAGCTAAGAAGATACTTAACCATAGAGTAAAGATGTGTAAAATTTTCTTACATGGCTAAATGATAGAAAATCAAGAAGATTAGACGGCATCTCAACTTTTTTACATTATCATAAATAATGTAGATAGATATAGTTGACATTTATGGCACTGATAATCTTCTATTCAAATATAAATTATCTTCAAAATTTTACTCTGCAGGTTGCTGATTTTGGGCTCTCAAAGGAAGAGATCTTTGATGGCCGAAATTCTGGTCTTAAAGGTACATATGGTTACATGGATCCAGCATACATTTCCACAAGCAAGTTAACAACAAAGAGTGACATATACAGTTTCGGTGTCATAGTTTTTGAGCTCATCACTGCCATCCACCCACATCAAAATTTGATGGAATATATTAACCTTGTAAGTTACTTTTCTTGGGACGAAATCTTCGTAGACTTCACATTAATTTCTGTCTGATTTGCTTATTTATCTTTTACTGCTTGCAAGGCTGCAATGGATCATGATGGTATAGATGAGATACTTGACAAGCACCTTGTGGGAAAATGCAACCTTGAAGAAGTGAGGCAGCTTGCTAAAATTGGACACAAATGCTTGCACAAATCACCTAGGAAACGCCCCTCTATAGGTGAAGTTTCACAGTTCATATCAAGAATAAAGCAAAGGCGACAGCGCCACTTAACAGAAGATAACTTGTCATTTGCAAGCAATAACTTTTCTCGAGCTGTTAGTCGATTAGAAGATCGACAGGTTGAACTAAGTAGGATGTCCACCATTAACCTTGCAGAAACTGTATGAACATAATTACTTGTATATGCATGGAGTGAGTTTAAAATGAAAATCTCTTTAGACCAAGCTAATCTAATGAAACAACTACTGCTCCAAAATATTGAAAACAATGTCCCAATGTTGGCATTTTTAACTCATGGAGTTAAGGGCAATTTGGTGGAAGAGATGAACTTGGTGGTTGATACCTGCATGTTTCTTTGAAACAATTCAAATGAACTCGCATAGCACACCAATTGGACAAAATCATTGTGATACCATCTATCCTCAAGAAAGATACCAATTAAAGATACAAATAACTCCTAAATTATCATTTCATACTCATTAAGTCAAAAGTAACTCAATTCAATAGAAAAATAATAATAACAAATAATGGTAAACCATTCACAACTTAAATGTAATTAGTTAAAATCAAGAGAAGATAACCTAGTTCCTAAACTACTCTCAAGCCTTGGTGTTACATTGAAATCAAAGTTTCTACACGCATCTAGATATTTTCCTACTCCTCTAGAAATTGAGGATTCTCGTCTGGAAAACATACAAAAACATACCAACAAACAAATAGGGAGTGAGAACAATCTCACTTTATAGGGAATGGACCACAACTCTCGGTATCTTATCCCTTCACGATAACAATTATAATAACAATAATTAATTCATTAATTTCAATTGTAAACACCATCAATTCCATTCACAAACACATACACAGTAATGCAATGTGGTGTGCACCTACATCTAAATGCATGGGGTACTTGACCATCATCATCAAGAATATACAGTTGGTATTTAAGTTCCGATTAACCTTAGGCTACCAATACATAAGTTTTCCCATCAAAACCATAAAAATAGGTTCCCACCATAATCAGAGAATCATGCAAGTATAATGCATGTCACAACCATGCAAATGCTTCTATATTAATACATCATGATCATCATATAATTCATTGTTCACCAACATCCATATTCATCCACATCAAATGTCATGCATCAAGATAAAAATCATCATTCATTAGGTATATATACATACATACATGCATTGGGCTTGGAAACCTACATCCGACTCTAAATTGAGACAAAGGACACTCCAGTTATTTCACGCTCAGCTTCACCAAGCCACATTTGGCTTCAAGATGAGACAAAGAACACCTAGATATTTTCAGGCTCAACTTCACAAAGCGACACCTGACTTTAAGTCAAGAAAAAGAGCACCAGACCTTTTCACGCCCGGCTTCACAAAGCCATGTCCGAATTTCAGTCGAGATAGAGAGCACCCTAAACATCTTGCGCCCAGTGTGGACTTTTCCTTGCCTGATGCCAACATGTCTAGGTAGTACCTTCACACGCATCAAGGCACGCCCAGCTCTGAGCACTTGAGTCAGTTGCCGTGTGCGATCCATCACCCAAACACACCATCATTGGAACAATAATCTCAAACAAACATCATGATAAACGATGATGCAAAATTTCAAACATCCAGGACTTGTTTTAGTCTAGAAAATTCACCATTCAAGGTGAATTCATCTAATTATACGTCTACGACTCTTACCCCTAAAATTATCAATTATTTTCCCTTAGGGTTCTAATTCCTTTACATAGAGCACTCAATTAATTACTTCAAAAGCATCAGATCATCAAATAAAATTCATATTAGGAATCTACACGACAAACAACATTAAACACACAAGAATTCATCAAACAAAACATTTATGGGATTTGGGGCCAATCCCTCTACCCTTCATGCATAAACTCAATTCTAAGAGATGAGTGTTCTCACCCTCCCTTACATAGAGTGATGCAACATATTATATCTAAGCCTCCACCACCTCTCCGATGATCCCTTCTCTTTGCTCCCTAGATGCATTCTCTTTAGAGCAAGAGAGTGTTAGACAATGTGAAGATGTAAAAAGTGAACCCTTCTTCGTCCTTCTTCTAATGAATAACTACCTATTTCTTTAAAATTTCTTTATTATTAATTATTTATAATTCTCCTTTTAATGATTAAATCTATTAAAATAAAAACTTTAATTATAAAATACAATAAAACCATCATTATCTTCCTAATTAATTATTATTAATTATAAAATAATGTTAGAGTGTTACAACTCTCCCCTTTCAAAGAATTTCATCCCCAAAATTATCTGTAGTGAACAATATCAGGTATGCCTCTCGCATCTTGCTTTCAAGTTCTCAAGTCCCACTCTCCTCAGTGTTACTTTCCTAAACCACCTTCACCAAAGGAACATCCTTCCCTCTCAATTCTTTCACCCTACTATCCTCAATCCTCAAAGGGACTGTCTCATAGGTAAATTTCTCCTTCAACTGAATATCATCCAACTCAAGGACATGGGACGAATCTGGACATATTTTCAAAATTGAGACACATGGAAGACATTATGCAAATTGGATAGTTTTGAAGTTTAGCGGAAAACACACAGAAGGGAGGTTGAATGTGTGTGAACGAAGGATTTTAAAAACGTTTTTGCAAAGGGCTTCTTTCCGTCTGAAAATAATGTTTCAAGCACTTAGAGATTGTGCAAGATTGGTTAAGAGAAACTCTGCATCTGAAGATCTATCGCCTACTCGAGAATAGTTTCTTAAGTCAAGCAAATATAATTTCGTCTAAATGTCGTTTAGAAAATAAGTAGTAGACGAAGTTTTTCAATGTGATATATTAATATAAATAAAATTGCGTTTGTAAAAAAAACAACAATGCACAGAGTTTTATACTGGTTCTCTCGTCCTGAGCTACGTCCAGTCTCCTTCAACTGAAGGGTTCCACTAATCACAACGGATTATAAAGTATTCTTAACCACTTCTGGTTCGTCAACTTCACTTGTCGATGCTAGTATTCTTACACCACTTCTGGTTCTTCGAGTATTCTCAACCACTCCTAGTTCGTCTTGTTGATGCTAGTATTTTTAAATCACTTCTAGTGTCTGTTGAGGCAGAGCTTCCCATTGGTGCATATAACCGTTCATTCATGGCTACACATATCTTTTTCATTTAATGCGTTTGTTCTTGCATTAATTGCTTGCTTGCCGAATCTGTGTTATGTGAAGTCCTTTGCGTAATTTGTTCCCTTTTATTTTTTACTTCAATCATGACCTAGGTATGTTTAACCTTTTTTCATCATTGTAGCTGCTGAGGCGTTGTCTTTTTCTGAAAAGTAGATGTACTTGCCCTAACACACGCAACTTTGACTTGTGGATTCACGCTCTTCTATTTTTCTTCTTTCATATCACATTCTTGATGACTTCGTGTAGTCTTCTTGTGAATATGGACGATATGGGATGTTCCTCATTGTGAATAGTGGATTTCAGACACTTTTAAACATTCTTCGTTTGCGTCTAGAATATGAGTCTCCGTCTAAGATTTAGACTTTGACTTTTTCATCTTGTCTGATCAGTCGTGAAGATGGATGACTTTTATTCCATCTGGAATATTTCTTCATCTTGTGTTGTCCAACGACTGATGCTTATTTTGTTGACCTTTGTGTAGTTGACCATTGAGCTTCATTTGATGTTTATTTGGTGTTGAGCCAACTTTGTCTTGGTCTAGTTTTGCTTTTTGGTTGATATTTGTTTTGGCCTTGTGTCTGATTTCTTATGTTGCGCTCTAGGATGTCCTTGACACATCTTCGTCTGATATTTGTTATTTCTTGACACTAATTTGGCTTTGTTTGATCCTTGTTTTGTTCGTCCATGCTTTAGTTTTGCCTGTGTCTTATATTTATCTGAAACACTGACACATAGATTAGTTTCACCGATCCTTTTTAGAATCTGATAAAGACCAATGAATTAGGATGTAAGCTTGCAAGCCTTGAGAGTTCTACCAACATTTGTCCAAGGATTTACTTTCAAAAATACATGATCACCTTCATTAAACTCAAGATTCTTCCTTCTCTTATCGTGGTAACTCTTTTGCCTACTTTAAGCTACTCTTATCTTTTCTTGGATCAATCTCACCTTCTCGGTAGTCTCTTGCACAACCTCAGGTCCTAAGATAAGGTTTTCTCCCAGTTCTGCCCATCATAAGGGTGTCATACACCTCCTACCATACAAAGCTTCAAACGGTGTCATCCCAATACTAGAATAGTAACTATTATTATAGGTAAATTCTATTAAGGGTAGACAACTATCCCAACTACCTCCTTGTTCTAATACACAAGCTTTAAGAAGGTCTTTTAAGGATTGTATGGTTTTCTCGGTTTGACCATCAGTCTATGGGTGGTAAACCAAACTTATCCTAAGCTTCGTAGCCAAGGTCTTATGAAGACTCTCCCAAAATCTAGAGGTAAACCTAGGGTCTCTATCTGAAACTATACTAGAGGGAATCCTATGTAACCTCACTACCTCATTGATATACAACTCTACCAATCTCTCCAAGGAATATCTAATGTTAATAAGGATAAAGTGAGTAGGCTTGGTGAGCCTATCCACTATAACCCAAATAGAATCAAACTTCCTAAACGTCCTAGACAAACCTACAACAAAGTCCATAAACATACTATCCCACTTCCAAAAAGGGACATCTAAAGGCTACAAAAGCCCTAAAGGCTTCTGGTGTTCTACCTTAGACTTCTGGCATTCTAAACACAAGTACACAAACTCTTCTACCTCACTTCATCTTAGGTCACCAGAACATTTTCTTAAGGTCTTGATACATCTTAGTAACTCTAAATGCCTCAATCAAGTCCAACTCTCTACTCATCAAAGATGATAGGTGAATGGTCTTCCTACTCAAGGCATCCACTACAACATTAACTTTACCTAGGCGGTAATTAAGGCTAAAATCATAATCCTTAAGGAATTTTAACCATTTTCTCTGTCTCATATTAAGCCTCTTCTGGTCAAATAAGTACTTAAGGCTTTTATGATCGCTAAAAACTTTAAATATAGAACCATAAAGGTAATGTCTCTAGATCTTAAGTACAAAGACTACAACCCCTAATTCTAAGTCATGGGTAGGATAATTCTGTTCATGAGTCTTAAGTTGTTTAGACGCATAGGCTACTACCTTGTTATCCTGCATCAAAACGCAACCTAATCCCATCTTAGAGGCATCACAATATACTATGAATGTCTTACTAGGGTCAGGTATTCCTAATATAGGT